GATGTGGAGAGATGATGACTCACCTGTAATTGAGAGAAACTGAATGGCATCATCATGAGCCTTAACTGTTAAACCCTGATTCCACCTGCCAGAACGAACAGACTGACAGAGCTGCTGAAGGCCAGGAGCTGCAGACAGGGCCCAGCACATGGGAATCCTTCACTTTGTTGGTGTTTTGCATGTGAGGGGCTTAACATGCCTGTTACACACGTGTCCCGTGTTATGTGGCAGCAGCACTGCTCCCTGCACGAAGGGATGGGGAGGTATGGATGGAGCTGAGCTGTAATGGAGCCACAAGAAGCCCCCAGCCCCAAGGCCTGCGCCGTGCATGCGTACTCCTCCCTGTGACTTTCCCTGCAGTTCCCGGCCGGAGCAGAGATGATGTCAGAGTTGTCATGGCATCGGTATCTATGGAACCGGGATCATCATCACGGTGCTACGAAAACCTCACTCAGGAGCTGGTCCTGGAGCCGCAGGGGGGAACTCCCCTTGCTGTAATTGAGGGTTTCCCTCTGCAAGGTTCCTCTCTTTTTCCTCCTTCCTACTGGAAGAGGGAGTGGGGATGGGGCTCGGCCTCTTCCTGTCCCAGGAGAGCTCTGGGTGCCTCCTTTCCTGCATGAGGAAAGCAAAAGCTTCAGCCCCACCAGCCTTCACTTCCCTTTTCTTTCACCACTTAATGGTTATGTAGCAGTATGCTTTGAAGTGAAGCAACCACCAAACCTCTCCCTGTGGTGGGCAACAGGCTGCTCTCATCCAAGGGGAAGCTCCCGGTGGAGCACCCTACTCCTGCTGTGGGGCAGGAGTCCCTTCTTCCACTGAGGGCCTGTTGTGGGGCCCCCAGGGCCCCTGACCCCTAGAAGAGGTGACAACAGCCCTTCCTGCTGCGGTCTGCAGTGATGGGAGCAGGCTTGAGCCAAGCAGTGTGGTGACCTCCCTGTGCTGCAGTCTATGGCATCTCCCTCCTGCCAACGGCCCAGCCATGGGTTGCCCTGGCTGTAGCCAAGTCCTTGCCATCGCACAGTGACGCTGGCAACATCCCCCAACCCCTGGCCGTAGCATGCTGTCCCCAGAAGCAGCATGGTGACTATATCCATAGGATGGTTATCCTTGGGATAACACTGTGATCCTGCCCGTGGTGAGGTGTCCTGGCTGTACCGTGGTGTCCCCAGACACAACACGGTGCCCACGGCTGCAGCAGAGCGATGCCCAGGGCTGTGCTGTGGTACCCACGGCCGCAGCAGAGCGATGCCCAGGGCTGTGCTGTGGTACCCACGGCCGCAGCAGAGCGATGCCCAGGGCTGTGCTGTGGTACCCACGGCCGCAGCTCGGGTGCGCGCACCTGCCGTTACCCCCCTCCCGGCCGATGGGTGGTTCCTCCCGTTGCCCGCACGCGGCGCTGCGGACGAGCCCACGCGGTAGACGCGCGGGGGGGGGGGGGGGAGCCGGGCAGGCGCGCTGCCGGCGCGGGGCGCGCTCGGCTCGGAGCGGAGCGGGCGGCGGGGGAAGATGGAAGGAGCCTCCTTCGGAGCGGGCCGGGCCGGGGGAGCCATCGACCCCGTGGATTTCCTGAAGCAGCCGCAGACCATCCTCCGGGTGACGACCTGGGTGAGGCAGAACGGTCATCCCGGCCGGGCAGCGGGGCCGCGGGGCTCGGCACCGGGCGTTGGGCAATGCCCGGAAGATGGGCAGAGCACACTGCAGCGTGCGGTGCCCCTTGCGTTGGGCAGTGCCCGGGTGATGGGAATTGCGGTGCCCGTGCAGGGTGCAGTGCCCGCTGCAACACGCAGTGTGCGCGGTGCTTGTGCGGCGCCCGTTGCAGTGTGCGGTGCCCGTGCCGTGTGCGGAGCGCAGGTACCGTGCGGCGGTGCTGCAGGCGTGCGGCGCTGGTGCAGCCGTGCCGGGTGGTGCCCGGCTGAGGGGCTCCCGGGGGGTGTTCGCCCGGAGTTTCCTTGGGCAAGGTGCGGCGGGTGGATGTGCCCCTGGTGCTTGAGGAAGGAGCAAGCGGATGAGGTCTAAATCGGCAGGCAGAGGACATTTTCCTTCCATGCTCTGTGCGTATGTGTGTGTGACAGAAGAAATCTGGGAGCCAGCCCTGCCCAGCTGCCCCTGTTCGTGCACAAGAATGTCATCTTTTTTGGCTGTTTCCCATCTGAGTTCCTCCTGTGGAGCAGGAGGTTGGAAGATGCTGTGTGGCAGCTCAGGGAAGGCTTTGCTCGCTGATGGTCCGTGAATAAGCAGCACAGGGAGCTGCACGCTGGTGCTCGCTGGGGCCGTGGTGCCCGAGGGGAAGGGCAGGCACTGATTCTCCTCCCCAGCCTGGCTTTTACCTGCTAGGATTTGCAGGCATGAATGATTCCAGAGGTCGGCAATGCCGGGCCCTTCCCAAAAGGGGGCAACCAGTTAGTTGGGTCTAACTGGTGCTCCCAACAGCCGGCTCCTGGCTCCAGTGCTTGGTTGGAGGCTGTGGGTGAGCCAAGCTGGGCCTGGGGGGCTCATCCTCACCCGTGTCACATCCCTGCTGTGCACGGAGGCTCTTGGCCACCGCACTGGCTCTGTGTCACCCTCAGCAGTGCCCCATGGAAGCAGGGAGTGAAGGAAAGGTGTGGGAGAAGGTGCTGCCCACCCAGCTCCCTCCTTCACACTCACCCAGTGGGTGCGTTTGGGGGTGCCTGGATGAGGCCCTGTGCAGCACAGCATGGGAGCATGTGCTTATCTTTAAGCACGTGAGCAATTCCAGCTGCAATCACATGCTTATCGTTAAACCACATACTGAAATCTTTAGCTGGATGGGGGCCAGTGTGCTCTCCAGAGCTTTGAGACAGCCCCCAACCCCTTTACTGGAGAACAGAAGGCCAGGTATGGATGTGGAGCATCCAGGTTGGGCTGGATGGGGTGTTTTGGGTAGGGTTTGGGTACCTGGCAGCAGTTGTGTCCTAGAAGAATGGTCTCAGTCCTGATAAACCTGGTCTAGATCCACATGGCTCCTCCTCGATCCCCCTCAAGTGACAGACTGTTGGCAGTGGTGCTGGTCTGGGGTACAGTTAGATAAATTGTGGGCCTGTTGATGGTGAGTTAGGCCTTCCATAAAGAGCTCATCCTCCTTGTTGTATAGAAGGGGATCTGCACTGCTGGGAAGCAGGAACAGAATACGGAACATAGAGATAAAAATTCCAGCTTAGGAAACAGCCATGCATACATTTGCTGGCTGATTTACTCAATGGCAGAGTCACTCGATTCATGGTTCTGTGTTCACCAGAGAGCTTACAGCTACAGAAATACATCAACTTAACCCCAAGCAAGTGCAGGGCTCACTGGTGTGGACAAGTGTGGGATGAGCGCTGTGCTGGCCCAGGCAGAAATGTTTGCAGTATTTGGGGTTGGCTCCGAAGTCACTGAGCTCAAAGGGAGCGTTTCTGCTGTTTTCAGAGGGGGATCAGGCTGTGGAAGCTCACATTAAAAGCCCTTAGAGCCGCTTTCCCCAGGTCTCCTGTTTGCTGGCAGATCTGTCGAGGACCCTTCTTCATCACTGCTCCAGCCTGGGGGTTCAGAGCCCTGCTTGGCTGCTGCAGTCCAGTTACCTCTGTCTCAAACCAGTTCCCAGTGTGGGCAGGGCCTGCAGCTGGGTGAGAGGTGGGATTGGAGGGGAGAGGTGGGGATGTGGCAAGTGGCAGTGTCTGCTCCTTATCACACCATGCTGGTGGCCGAGGCAGCATCATGGACCAAAGTCCCCCTGGGATGCTCCCTCATTCACAAAGCAAACAGAAACCTTCCCAGGTCCCTGCCTGCTGTCACAGGGGAGATGGGCTCCCCATGTCTGCATGTGGCAGAAGAGCCACAGCCCTAAATGGTTGTTCAGAAAGCCCTTGACTGAGGCTTTGAGGATGGCCGAGTTTAGGTGTTGGACTGGGTTTTATTCATGTGGGTTTCCTTCCTGTGCTCATCTTTTTAAACGTGTTTAACCTGTGCAGTTGGACCAAACCTCAGAACCATAACCCTGGCTGCGCATAGGACATCAATGATCCTTTGGTGAGAAAAGGAGGGAGCGGAGATGTCCCGGTTTGGGTGGGAGGACACCAGGACAAAGGTGATGGAGAGCCACCACGAGGCTTTGGGGCCAGCTTCACCCACTTGATGTGAGCCACTCTGTGCCCATCAGGCCCATCACCATTGCTGGGGTTTCACAATGCACCACCACCAAAGGGGGGGTCCAGCTCCCTTCTGTGTCTCTGGAAGGTGTTTTGGGGCCCTGGGCTCAGTCTTTACTCTGGCAAACATCTAAGAGACTGGCAGGTGAATGGTGACTTCAGTGTGGAAATCCCCAATGTAAGTGATGGCAAGAGGGGATTCCTGATTCAACCGCACTCGGGAACATCTCCCTGAGAGGCAGAGTAATTCAGAGTATCTGCAGGGAAAACAGCCCTCCTGGCTTGAGCTGTAAAACCAAAAGCTGGAAACAGTCATGTAACAGTTCCTCATTCATCTCTTCCCCCTCCGTCTGGTGCTGTTTGTCAGATGAAGATGTGATCACTTGTGGTTTTCTTTTAGAGACATGTTTTGCACAACAAAACAAGCCGGCTATTCAGGAAGGATGCCCACAGGATCATGAGTTCCCTTCTCCAGGGCTACCAGGGCCAGTTGGGCTTTCAAGTGGCCACGCAGCTTGGCAGGGGCACTGTTCATTTAACGTTGGGTTAGGTTTGACTTTTAAAAGCAGGTCTGGAAGATATCCCAGCAGAGTAAATGCTTGCAGTAATTCCTGTAGGAGCAGCAGCACAAGCGCGGGGCCAGGTCCCATCCGTGCAGCCACGCTCACCAGTCGGCTTCCTCCACGGAGCTCAGCATGAGATCAGCTCCTGATTTTGTAATCACAGAATCCCAGCCTGGTTTGGGTTCGAAAGGACCTTAAGATCATCCAGTCCCAACCCCTGCCACGGGCAGGGACCCCTTCCACTAGAGCAGCTTGCTCCAAGCCCCTGTGTCCAACCTGGCCTTGAACACTGCCAGGGATGGGGCAGCCACAACTTCTCTGGGCACCCTGTGCCAGCGCCTCAGCACCCTCACAGGGAAGAGCTTCTGCCTAAGAGCTCATCTCAGTCTCCCCTCTGGCAGGTTAAAGCCATTCCCCTTGGCCTGTCCCTACAGGCCCTTGTCTAAAGCCCCTCTCCAGGTTTCCTGTAGCCCACCCTACAATACAAACCCTTAAGTATTTTCTTTAAAGCCTGACCCATCTGCTGCCTTCTCCTCCTGTTTCTTAAAGCTGAATAAATCTGTGCTCCCTCCCCTGGATCACTGAGCTTTTCCTCTGCAGTGTTTTATCGCACTGGGCCCAATGTTTTGTTTGGGTTTTCCTTGCAGCAATCTGATGCTTTTAAGAGCAAAACCTTTATTAGGGGCCTGGACTCGAGCAGCCAGATCTGATTACTTGGCAGAGGCCTGGCAGCAGAGAGACAGTCCCTGTAGGCTCTGATGTGCAGCAGGAAACCTTCATTACCAGAGGTTACTTGGGCTCAGGTCCAGCCTGGGCTTTATGTGCTCAGCTCTGCACTGATGCCGGGCTCAGTCCATATTGCAGCAGAGCATTGTCTGTGCTTCGCTGAGTTGTGCCTTTGCTAAGGGATGTGCTGGGGGGTGGTTTGGTGTATTAGGAATAGTTGGTGGTTCTTGGAAGAAGGGAGTGTGCTCTTTCCATCCTGGACCAGGCTTGTTCTGTTTCTCCAGCGGGATGGAGAAGGCAGTGTGTGTGCTCATGGCAAAAGGTGTATCTGTTTGTATCCAGAGCAGAAGAGCCAGGCAACAAAGAAGAACATGGCTCCAGGATTGGAACCAGATGATCTTTAAGGTCCCTTCCAACCCAAAGCATTGGCAGTACCCTGCACCCTCAGCACAGAGCACTCTTGAGGAGCCTCACACCCGGGTTGAAGCTGCAGGAGCCCTGGTTTGAGGTGCTGGGGAGCAAGCATTTGGGTTTGCAGGGCTACAACACGCAGCTGTTGTGCAAGGCTGGAGTTGGAGCCTGGAATGCTCTCCTGCTGGAGTAGACATCAATGGGAAATGCAAGGTAGGAGCCTGGTGCTCATCGCTGGATTACAATCTTTGAATGGGTGCTCTCATCACATTAGAAGTAATTCAGGAAAGCTCAGCCATGTGGTCATCCATGTACACCCCTTCCCAGCTGATGGGCCTGGTAGACATACCCATAAACCTATTCCAGCCAGCACCATACCCCCCTTTCTGTGCCAGAAACCACGGCAGGTCTTTGCGTTGTGGTCGCATCCGTAATCCTGGTGGGAGATCTGGCAGCGCTCAAAGCAGCTCTTTCGCCTTCACAGCCTCCAATAAGTTATGCAGATCTGTGCTGGAAACGTCCCCGTGACTGACAACTGTAAAGGGAAACTGGAGAGGGACCCAGGACCTGGTTCCACCAGGATCTGAGCCAGGTGGGTGTTGAAGGAGGCTGGTCCTTTGCCAGGGGCCTAACTCATCACTGAGTGGAGTATCTGCACAAGGTATCTCTGTGACTTGAGACAAGGGCTTAACTGGGGTATAAGCCATAAGGAAACGCTTATTGCCAGGCAGGATTTGACCTTCATTGTCTTCCCTTCTCCTCTGCTAGCACATCCTTCACTTGCTGGTGGTGGCTGGAGGAGGGCGGGATGCTGAGCAGGGTATCTGTCTCCCTGATGCTCTCATTACAATGGTGAAGGATGCTACCAGGACCATTGAGTGTAAGCTCCAGCAGAGGAAATTGGCTGTGGATTATTTTCTTCATGCATTACATTCCCTTGCTGTTGACGTTAATGGTTGCTTGGGTGTGTAATCAAAGCAAGGCTTCGCAGTCTCCTACATCCCCACACCTTCTGGTAATGCTTTTTATAGGTCCCAAATCCAAGTGCAGTGCATCAGCAGTGGAAACATCTCACCTTAAAATGGCTGACTGTTCACACACTGAGGCTTTCAGCTCTTTGTTCTCCTTGTGATGGCTCTGCTCAGACCATGAGGTTTCCTGAGGCACATTTTAGGTGCCTGGGCTGCAGGAGGCTAAAAGCAATGGGGATGAACAATGTGCATGTCCTGGGGTGCAGGCGGCTCGAGCCCCAGGAGGGAACACTGCTCTGTAAAGTGTAATTACAGCAGTGAGCCAGGCAGCCAGGCCAGCACCTTCTTCCAGACGGCAGGAATCTGGTGCAGAGAAGGCAGATGCAGGTCTCCCAGCTTTATGCACACCTAAAATGGTGTCTCCACTGTGGGGCACATGGGCATCCCCAGCACCCTGGGTTCCTGTGAGGGTCTGGTGGTAGCTGTGGGTCCAGAAGCTGTGGCCACACAAGGAACCTGCCCTCTCAGGCTCCCCTTTCTCTTTTTTAGGGGGAAAAGGATGAGATCTCACTCAGCCTCCCATTGCAGGGCTGCTTCTGTGCTACTGACAGCCTGCCCAGCACCTCCAGCACAGTCCCTATGGGACATCCATCAGCACAGGACACCTGGCACTGGATCACAGCCGTTGTCAGAGAGGACAAAGGAAGCAAGAGGTCTTGCCTAAAATAGGGTAATGGGGGAAAATAGGAGGTGGGCAGCAAGCAAGGAAGGAGGGTGAAGTACAAGTCTTAATGGAAAGGATGGGAGAAAACTCTCCCCCTTCCCATCCTTCCTCGCAGGTAAATGCAAAGAGGAGCACTAATGGTCTGTGCCACTGGAGCTGCTGGGGCTTTGACAGTGGGGAGGGCAGGATGTGACCATCCCACACACCAGGCTGAGACCCTGAGCTGCAAGTGGGTTGATGTGGAAGCTTCAGCAGGGGAGATGCAGTTTCATAGCGGGGTGCCTGCAGGTTATCCATGTTTGCAACAGTCCACCCAGCACGAGGACAATTTGTTGCTGGTTGTGTTGGGTTGTTCAGCTGGAAACTGGAGCATCCCATGAATGCTCGGGCTCCTTTGCAGGGCCTGTGGGATATGGAAGCACCCCATTGGAAGGGTGGGCAGGCTTGGGATGGATGCAGCAGCTCACACAGCAGATGCCCCTGTGCTGTGCGTGCCGGCGACCTTGGCACTGGGTCCATGCTGTCCCTGCCATGGCTGGTCATGGGGACTGCAGTTGTGGGGACAAGCAGGAGGAGATGGAGCAGCACCTCTGGAGAGCAGGATCTCTGCATCCTTGCTCACACATAAAACCACTGTCAGGGGCAAATCTGACCTTGGGTTTTCCCTTTCGAGCCTCTGATGTGCTGGTGGTGGGTCTGGGCGAGTGCGGTTTGCAGAGCTGGTTGGAAAAGGGTATTTGTTTTGCATGAACTTTAAATTACAGTATGGGTTTTACTTCCTCCCCACCACCTACCCCCATTTTCTCAAAGCAGATTTGTTCCTCTATACTTAGAAGGACACCTCCAAATCTGTTCTCATTAAAATGTTTCCCCAGCACCGGTTGGGGTTTTTATTGAAGAAAAGCTGGAACATTTCAATCAGGAGAGAAAAGCCGTGCAAAGACTTGTTTGCACTGAAAAGCGTGTTTTGACAGGAGGATTTCAGCCAGCACTGATGTTTTGCATCACATTGATAGATTTGCATCTATCAAATGCACACTTGCAATTCGCTGCTATTTCGGCCTCCTGAGAAGAAGCCGCGTGTCCCTTGTTGCCTGCACCCAGTCGAGGGGGTGTCATGGGGGGGTGGCTCAGGTCACCTGGCAGCAAGGAGGATGCTTTGCTTTGCAAAGCCCTCGGGAGCTGGAAGTTAAGTGCTGAAACATCCTATTTGATCCCATTTCTGGCAATAGTTGTGCTTGCAGCACTCCATGGGCATCCTCCATCGACAGCCCCCTATGTGCAAGCCTGTGTGCAGGCAGCCAGGACCCCTGTAATGTCGTTAATTACTAATTTCATCCTTAATCTTTAATTTACCAGAGCCCTCCCTCACCCACTGAAACTGTGAGCTCCCGATAAGCACCTGAAAGCACAGAGAAGCAGTCCAGTTAATCCTGGGAGGACTTGGAGAGGGGCTTTGGACAAGTGATGTAGGGACAGGCCAAGGGGAATGGCTTTAACCTGCCCGAGGGGAGACTGAGCTGAGCTCTTAGGCAGAAGCTCTCCCCTGTGAGGGTGCTGAGGCGCTGGCACAGGGTGCCCAGAGAAGCTGTGGCTGCCCCATCCCTGGCAGTGCTCAAGGCCAGGTTGGACACAGGGGCTTGGAGCAAGCTGCTCCAGTGGAAGGGGTCCCTGGATGAGCTTTAAGGTCCCTTCCAACACAAACCATACGATTCTGTGCTTCTATGACTAAGTAAAACACTTAGTGTGCACTTGCAGAAGCTGAGCACAAGTTCTGTGGCCTGCCAGAGAAATAATCCCATGGAATCAGAGGTTCTCAATTATTCATGTTTTCCAGAATCACATTATTTCTTCCAGGGCCTGTTTTATAAATGCTGCTGCTATTTCTGATGGTAAATAACAATTTTGCATTATTTATGAACAGATTTTTACAACTGCTGATATTACAGCTGCTGCCAAAGCCCTGGGAAAATGATTATTACTGTTTGTTGTTGTTCCTCCTTACAATGCAAGCCTCTTGTTCTGAGCGTGATGAGGATGATGTGCCCGTCGCGGTGTGACAGCCCAGCGCTCCCTGAGTGCAGCGCCAGCAAGGAGCAGGGTGCAAGGGAAGTGGGTGACTCAGGTTGCCATCAGGCTCATGGCTGCTGCTCGGAGCTGAGATGAGGTGGGGATGGAGGGGAACAGGACCTGGGGCATGGTTAAATTCCAAGAGGAGGAAGGTCTGGTTATCTCCTTGTGCGGCCATGGGGAGGTCCATGGGACATACGTACTTTCTATCGCTATTAGGGGTCCAGATGAAATCAAAGGTTGCACCTGGCTTTTGCAGATGCACATTTGGAATCCCACATTTCTAGGAGGGAAGTCTCCCTTGCAGAGCCATCTGTTTGTTCTCCAGCTTGGAGGAGACTCAGTGGAGACGGTCTGAGAGGTGTTTGTTAATAGGGATGCTTGCATTTGGAAGTAACTTCAGACAGGAGAAGCTTCAGCTTCATCCCAGCGCTGAAAGGAGTTTGGAGGAGAGAAATCCGAATGAAATTCCTCAGGGCAGACAGGAGGGAGACATTTGGCATGTGCTTGGGAGTAAATCTCTATCACCACATTACATTAAAGAGCTTTCTGAAGGGTTTGCTCGTAGTGCCTTCTGCTAACACAGTGCTATGAGGAGTGTGGGGCTGTAGGAGGTGGCCCGTGGCCAGGCATCAGCCACGAGGTGCAGGTGACTTTGCAAAGGCCTCCAGCTGCAGTCTCTCCTGTGGCTCTTCTGCCTCTGTCTGTCGCCTGTCTCACTCTCGTGCTCCTTCAGGAGATGCAGCAGGGTGTCCCGAGCAGGAGCTGTATCACACCACAAACCCCATGCTCCCAGGTAGCCACAGCGGCATCCTGGGGGAGCCTCTTGTCTCCCTGCCTGCGTATGAGGCCTCCGGCTGTGTCCTGCGGGCGTGCAGGGATGCAGGGAGCCGGTGCTGGCAGCGAGGGATAAGATCAGAGGTTCCCAGCTTGCAGGAGGGGGCTCTGCAGCCTGGCTCCCTCCCTGCTCCCAGCGCTGGAATCCAGCAGCGGCGCGGCTTTAATGGAGCGGGCTCCGGAGCAAATCGTAATGCAGCTGCTCCCGCAGCGTCCGCTTGGTGCTGGGAGATAAGGGAATGACTTCAGCGTGCAGCATCAGGATTGGTGTTCATCGAGGCAGCCAGCCGGCTCCTTCCTGCCTGCGGGGATGTGAAACACCCTCAGGTCCCAGCAATGGGACCACCAGCAACCCCCCTGTCCCTCTCAGGGCCAAAACCAGCTCACTGGATAATGGCTGCAGACGCTGCATCCTTCAACCCCTGCTGAGCCAGGTGAGAAATCATAGAATCATGGTTGGAAAAGACCTTTAAGATCATCAAGTCCAACCATTATTGCCCTGCCATTCATGGGGCAGCCTGTCCCCTGCCCCACTGCACTGAGGGTGCCGTTCCCATCTCCCCACGCTGCCGTGTCCTTGTCCCTTCTCTGGGCCAGGGCTGGATAGCAGCTCAGTTATCCTCTGTAGCTTCATTTCTCCCTGCTCTGCAGTGACACAAGGGGGTTTATCGAGCACAGCCTGACAGTGGAGAGCAGAGCCTCGGCCCATCTATTTTTTCCCTCCCCAGCCTCTCTGGGAACAACATCTCTTAAAATACCCTGCAAATGAAGCCACTGAAAGGCAGCCAGGCTCGCAGGGAAGGAAGACCTTGGTACCATCCACCAGCTCATTCATCAGGGCCACCAACCAGATGAGAGTCAGGATCTGTCTAACAAATGCCACGTTGCCATGGAGTCAAAGACAAGATTGAATCCAATTACGTTGCTGTTGGGAAACAGAGTTCAACGTAAGCGGCAGCGAGTTGTGTTTTCTCCTTCCTCCTGCAGATCTTCTCCATCGTGGTGTTTGGCTCCATCGTGAACGAGTGCTACGTGAACAAGGACAGCCAGACCCCCATGCTGCACTGCATCTTCAATGAGAATGAGAGTGCCTGCAGCTACGGCATCGCCGTTGGCATCATCGCCTTCTTCGGCTGCATCTTCTTCTTTGTGGTGGACCTCTACTTCCAGCAGATCAGCAGCGTGAAGGACCGCAAACGCGCCGTCCTGCTGGACCTCGGCTTTTCAGGTACCTCTGGCTTTGCTGGCTCCTCAAGGATGATGCTGGCTCCATGGGCAGTGCGGGGTTGTTGCTGTGCCCTGCAGCTCCACGCCTGAGTCCATGGCACGGCACCATTCGTGTGCCTCTGACAGGGAGAAGAGGGGTGGCAGATGGGTTGTCCCATCCAGCCATGAGCTCCGAGGCAGCAGTGGGGAAAGCAAGTGTGTGGTGTGTGGTGGCTTGGGGACAGTGGGTGTCCCGCTGGTCCGTGTCGTGTCTCCAGTTGGAGATGTTCAGTGAGCTGCTTTCAGTGAGGCCACCCACAGAAGTGAGGCTTGGTGCTCACACCTCAGAGACCAGACAGGGCAATTTCCCCTGCCACATCCCTGTTTCTGGCTCACGTAGACGTCGTTTCATCGGTTACATCCGGGTCTGTGTTCACTTAGTGCGTGTGTTTTGGAACAGAGCAGAAACACTCCATACCACTGCAATCCCTCACTGCCTCCAGGACCGGGGGGGCTGGGAGTCCCAAAGGCTGGCACAGATCCTCTGTGCTGTCCTGAGCCCCTCGGCCAGGGGCACATCCACGCGGGATGCCTTGAGCCAGGAGAGCCATCCTCCGCTCTGCTGCTGGGGGAATCACCTGCCTGAGCTTGAGCTGATGTTCTCCGGTTCCAGGCTCTGGTGTTAGTGAAGCCTGAAGGTGATTTATCCAGCACCAGCGCTGCTGATGGCTCTCCAGCCCCAAATGAAAACAGCCGTCATCGCCTCCCTCTGCTCCCCTCTTGTTGAGGATGTTCTCTCCTTGCTGGAAAGCTCATTTCCACGGTGCTGGAGTGCCGTTAGAGGATATTTACAGCCCCTTCCATGGGGCTCAGTGCCTGCAACCCTTTGATTCAGACGGAAGGGGAACATCACATCCATCTTGTGGCTGATGCTGTGTGTCATGGTGCGAGGATCCTGCCTTCCCCCTCCAAACAGCCCTTCTCTCCCTGCCAGGCATGTGGGAACCAGCACCGTGCTCCATCTCTGCCTTCTTTCTCTTTGGTGCTTGTCACGGGTACGCATCTGCAGCTTCAGCAGCGAGCTGGGGAGGATGAGTTCTGCCCTGCAGAGCTGCTGATGTGCTGTGCAGGGCTTGTGCTCTGCCCCGGGGCCAGGCTGCAGCACTGCACCAGTGGTGGGGGTGCAGAGAGCCCTCTAACTCACACTGGATGTGGATGCACTCGTGCATCTTATATTGCACTTAGGAACAAGTGGCAAGATCAAGGGGAATAAAGGAAGCTTCTTTCCTCTCCCTGCAGTCAGGCTGTGCTTTGCAGCCGCCTGCCCCACGGGACCAGCAGTGTGGCTGCTCATCCTGATGTGCT